TGGTGGTGGGTGGTGTGTACACGTGTGGTTTCAACTACGGAGAGCTTCTCAGAGAAAAAAGGGAGTCCTGCAGGGTGATGGGAGCTAGCCAACCCAAGACAGTTCTAGGCAGAGGGAACCACATGGGCTGAAGGATAAGGTATGGGATGGTGGGAGAGGAAGCCCTAAGGCGATTTTACTCCTAGGGAAGTGGGGGCCATTAAAGGTTTTCTAGCAGGGACAGGACATTGTCAGATTTACATTCTGAAAAGCTCGCTCAGGTTGGGTTGCAAAGTTGTTTGCCCGGGAAGACTGCTGCTGAGGAACCAGTTAGGAAGCTGTTGCAATAACCAAGGGGGAGATTAGGTCTTATTGCCTAAGGAGGTAGTAATCTCCCAATGACTTTCAAGAAGAAAGTAGTCCTAGGCGCCCTTCATTCTCACAACCATAGAAATAGACTCATAGATACAGAGAACAGAAGGGAGGCGAGTTGGGGGGGCTGGGTGAAAAAGTTGAAGGGGTTTAGAAGTACAAGTTGGCAGTTACAAAATAGTCACAGGGATGCAAAGTACAGCATAGGGAATATCCTATCCTATATAATAAAAGGCTAATATACAAATTGTCCTTTCCACCAGGAGTTCAAGGAGGCGTTTGACCAGGGGGCGGGGCTGGCTGGCCAACCGATTGCAGCCCCTTCTCCCAGCTGGCCCGCCGGATCAGTCCCAATTGGGGGGCGCTGGCCCGACCCCACCCGTGCACGAATTCATGCACCTGGCCTCTAGTAGTCAGTAATCTATAAATACAAAAGCCTAAGGAACTGTTACAATGGAATGACCCGTCGCTATGACACACACTGATCACCAGAGGGCAGATGCTTAACACAGGAGCTTCCCCAGCCCACAGGCCCGATCACTGATGGAGCCTGCTGGCCAACCTCCTGGTACCTCCCTGCAGCTGGCAGGCCCCAATTGCCCAATCAGGGCCAGGCCCCGGGCTTGGACAGGGAACTGGGGTAGGTGGTGGCAAACGCAGCCCATTTCCCAGGCGCCCCCCCCACCCAGGGCCAGCTCCCCGGCAGCCAATCACTTGAGTCCCTCCCCTCAGCCAGCAGGCCCCAATCAGTCCAGGCCCACGGTGGCAGCTACCCGCCTCCCCCTTGGCTGGCAGGCCCCTATCCAGCCTCCCGGTCCCTCCCCCCAGCCGGCAGGTCCTGATTGCCCGATCAGGGCTGGGCCCTGGTTTGGGACACGGAACCAGGGGATGGGTGGCAGCAGACCAGGTGAGGTGGCAGGGAAGGAAGGCGGGGGGGGAGGTGGGGAGGCGGGGAACCTGATCGGCCCTGATTGCCAGCCAGGCCTAGGGACCCCACCATGCACAAATTTTGTGCACCAGGCCTCTAGTATTGTAATAACTATGTATTGTGCCAGGTGGCTGGTATGGCTCAGATGGTTGGAGCAAGCATCTCCTGTGCACCAAAGGGTCAAGGTTCGATCCCCAGTCAGGGCATATACCCGGGTTTCAGGTTTGATCCCCTGTTGGAGTGTGTAGGAGGCAACTAATTCATGTTTCTCTCTCTCTCTCTCTCTCTCTCTCTCTCTCTCTCTCTCTCCATCTCTCCCTCCCTTCCTCTCTCTCTCAAAAAAAATCAGTAAAAACATATCCTTGGGTGAGGATTAATATATGTATAAATATATATATTACCAGGTGAGTATACTTAATGTCACTGAACTATACACTTATAAAATGGTTTAAATGGTCAATTTTATGTTATGTATATTTTACCACAACAAAAAAATGACCAGTTTATATTTCTTAAATTTTCCCATCAAATCTTCAGGTAAGTTTATATCCCAGAAACACATGCTGTATTTTTTCTGAGAGACACCTCCTCCCTCCTTAAACAGAATTAAGCCTAGAGGTTTGCCTACGCCTCTCTCTCTTCCTCTCTCTTGCATGTGATTATTTGTTTCTCATATTCAGGAGTAAATTACATAGAGTATAAATGTACAGATCTTAGGGTTTGATGTGTTTTGACAAATGTAGCAACACCTAAATCAAGTTATAGATTAAACATGTCTATCACCCCATGAAAGTACCCTCTTGCCCCTTCCCTCTCAGAGGCAACTACTCTTATGATTTTTTGTGTCATAGATTGGTTTCATCTGATCCTGCAAAATGTACACTTTCTGTCTGGCTTCTTTCTCTCAACATGGGGTTTTAGCAACTTCTTTTTTCTTTTCAATCTTCACCTGAGGAGTGAGGATATTATTCCATTGATTTTTCTAGAGAAAATGGGAGGGAATAGGAGGGGGAGAGAGAAACATGGATGTGAGAGACAAATCAATTGGTTGCCTCCCACATGCTTCTGATGGGGGTGAGGGGTGGAGGGTGAGTGAGAGGGGGTTCCGAGAGGATTAGGGGTGGGCTGAGGATCAGACCTGTAATCCAGGTATGTGCCCTTGACTGGAATAGAATCCTCAACCCTCTGGTGCGCAGGCTAATGCTCTACCACTGAGCCACACCGGCCAGGACTGCATCTTCTTGTTTTTGAGAAACACAGATTTGAGGAGTCAGTGACCTCCGCTCTTTTAGTTTGCAGTGTTGTGATTTGCTTTTCCTCCATGGCAGAAGATAGGGATAGGATTGGAGCCTCGTACATGCCCTTCTATTTACTGGCCCTTTTGCCTTGAGCAAGTCACTTACTTGGCTTTTTCAGACCTATTTCCTCATCGGTAAATGCATCTATTGTAGGATTGAGTAAGCTAATACTGTATTATGATATTTTGCATGACACTTAAGCAGAATGGCAAGTATTTCATTGTCAGTCCAGGATGATGAAGGAAATGGGTGTGTGCCTACTTAACAGCTTCTGCTTGTAATTACAGGGCACCTTTGGCTCTTCCGCGATGCTGGGACATATGATGGGCTTCTGGTTAACCAAACGGAACTATTTGTGCCATCTCTCAATGTTGATGGACAGCCGATTTTTGCCAACATCACACTACCAGGTACTGTTGTGCCATCTTACTTTTTTCCCCCCCATCTTACTTTTTAAAAAGATAAGGCTGTTACAAGTAGGGGAAAGGCCACTTACAGGAGTCAAGCCCTTACTGATTTTCGTCTGATGCTCAACCAGGTATTCAGCCTTTCTGTATCTTATTCTCCACCACATTTAAAATGGAAGTAATGTGTTTGTAGGCTCTGTATTGAGCAAAGGTGTTGTGATGTTTCGAAAGTTCTTTGAGACAGGCCGGTGTGGCTCAGAAATTGACCTATGAAACACGAGGTCATGGTTTGGTTCCCAACCAGGGAACATGCTTGGATTGTGGGCTTGATCCCCAGTAGGGGATGTGCAGGAGGCAGCTGATCAGTGATCCTCCCTCATCATTGATGTTTCAGTCTCTCTCTCCCTCTCTCTTCTCTGAAATCAATAAAAAATATATATTTAGAAAAGCTCTTTGGGCCCTGGCCAGTGTGGCTCAGTTGGTTGGGCATCATCCTGTGCACCCAAAGGTTGCTCCTTCGATTGCCAGTCAGGGCAAATGCTGGGTTTCAGGTTCCATCCCCAGGAGGGGGTATGAGGAGACAGCCAGTCTATGTTTTGCTATCGCATCGATGTTTCTCTCTTCCTCTCTCTCTAAAAAAATTAAAATATCTTTGGGCTTGTCAGAGTTGGGCTAAATTAAAATATCTGATTGTAGACTTATTAATGCATTTTGTTACTCTGGTCTTGGAGCAGAATTATGCCTTGGAGTTTCAGAAGAACAAAGTATAGGGGATTGATATTATGGCTTGTTTATATGACTTCTAGTATTGTATTTTTAAATGTAATCTAACCCAGTCAAGCTCAGTGCCAGTCAGGGGTTTAAAAAAGATAACTGAATTGAACATTAACCCACAGTGATTAAGTTGAACCTGCTGGTGTGGCTCAGTGGTTGAGCATCATCCTGTGAACCAGGAGGTCACCATTCAATTCCCAGTCAGGCCACATGCCCCGGTTGTGGGCTTGATCCCCATTAGGGGATGTGCAGGAGGTAGCCAATCAATGATTCTCTCTCATTGATGTTTCTAGCTCTCTCTCCCTCTCCCTTCCTCTCTCTAAAATCAATAAAAATATATTTAAAAAAAAAAGAAACTGATGTTCTTATGGAATTTAAAAAACACATCATACTAAGTATTTGCATCTTTATAAGGTTCAAGCTAATATATAGATTCTGTTTTTAAAAAATGGGTATACAAAAATGATCATTGATAAATGGAGTACCCTTAGAGAGTAAGTAAAATCAGATTTTAGTTACCCCAAATTCAGTTATATACTGTTTTGATTACTTATTGCTGTGTGACAACTACCCCAAAACTAACAACAACCATTTGATTTGTTCATAATTCTGCAGTCTGGACTGAGTTCAGCTAGGTGGTTATTCTGCTCATGGGTGGTCATTGGTGTGTCTGTCTTCTCCTGGCATGTTGGCTGAGGGCTAGTCTTCTCTCCCATGTAGTCTCAGTGCCTATCCCTCTTTGTATGGCCTCTCCTGCAGGGTAACTCAGGGCTTCTGAGAGGGTAAAAGTTGAAGTTGCTTAAGGCTTAGACCCAAAATTGTCACAGTGTCACTTCAGTTATTAAAGCACATCACAAGCCGTCCACTTTCAAGGGGAAGTTAGTAAACAAGTTTATGAATGCCATGAAATGTCGATTGGGGCCATCATATTACATTCTGACACAGTACATGTACTCACTTTTTTTTTGCCCAAAATGAGGTCCATCTGTAGTAAATGTAATTGCCATAGTTGGCAAAGGCTCTTGCTCATCCCTTGTCTGAAGGCCTACCTGAATTTTGCTGCTGAAGATTCGGTTTTCTGCCCTTACAGTGTATACCCTAAAAGAGCGATGCCTGCAGGTTGTCCGAAGCCTAGTCAAGCCTGAGAATTACAGGAGACTGGACATTGTGAGGTCACTCTACGAAGACCTGGAAGACCACCCAAATGTGAAGAAAGACCTGGAGCGGCTGACACAGGAGCATATTGAAAACCAGCGGATGGGAGAGGAGACTGAAGATTTTAACTGAAATTTGCACTCCTAAGTCTCAGCCGTTGATGGAACGGGCTAGTCGTAATCTAGATACAGGACTGGTCACTTATGCTCAGTGTCAAGGTCTCATTCTTAGAGTAAAAAATGCTCCATTGCTTAAAAGAAAGTTATCTGACTTCACTAGGTATTGTGCTGTTTAGGGGCCAATATCACAAAATGTAATGTCTGCCCTTTAGAAGTGTTTATGAAGGGAAAGTAGTTGCCTCCTTGGAAGTCAGGAAAGTGTAAGTAATTCAGTGAGAATTGTAGCATATTCTTTGATTGTAAGAAAGCAGTGGTGTCTGCTTTTAATTGCTGTGTTGTGGTTGGTGATAAGTTTGCCTCCTGCTTTGAGAAGACTGAGATGTCCTTGAGGTAGGGACAAATCTGTCTGCTCTTGGAGACCCCAGTGCCTCTCACATTATGAGCCTTCATCAGTGTTTGTTGAATGAACAAACCAGTGGATATTTTGGTAGAAAGTATTTGGAAGGTTTGCCCTTTTTTGCAGGGGGAAAATAGGGGACCTTAAAGTGTGTACAGTAAATAAATGTTTTAAAGGGAATCATTTTTATAGAAAGCACTTTTTATAATTTTATAAATTTTGTGCTTTTTTTCTGTTCACTATTGTTCCAGTGCTGTTTTATTACTGTTTCTAAACCAGGATTAGCTTTTTACAGTTACTGTGATGCTAGCTCTTTTGAAACTTGACATCTACCCAGAGATAGGAGAAAAGAGCTGTCCTCTTGTTTAATATGAAGGAGATACTACCATACTGTAAATAGGTTTCTGGCAAGTGTGGGTATTTCTGTTTCTTTTTGTAAATCCATGACATTTCTGTTTGGTTCAACATTTTCCATCCGGCAGGATATGGTGACACTTAGCACCTGGCTGGAGGAGAGGACAAAGCCCTCGCAGCTCTGGGAAGTTACTGCTCACACACAGTGGATTCAAAGAGTAGCCTGGAATGTTTTATATTTTATACTTTCTTATAGGCTGGACTTAAATTCATTCAGTACTTCTATCAGGCTTCCTTTTGTGTAACAGTTTTAAAAAAAATCAGTAGATAAATTTTTGGAAAAGACAGAAAAGTAAAAGGAAGAAAAAGGTCACTACAGATAAACTACTTAAACACAATCACTAACTTAACATTTTGAATTTTCAGCCCCTTTTAGGGCAACTTTTGGTTAGTTTGTTTTTACATAGTTGAGGTTATATTGTACATACAATTTTATATTCTTTCTCATTTAACTTAAATATCTTCTATGGCATCTTTATAAGCTCTCCATAGACATTAGTGCAATCTTTGTCTTGTAAAATAATGTTGGGAAATTTCTTTAGTTTCTGTGCTAACCTTTGAGCACAATTCCTGTGCTCCGCAGAATGAAGTGAATGAAACAAACACCCCGAAGTTCTCTCACTATACGTTGTTTCACCCAGTCTGGTTCCCCGCTTCAACATTCAGCAAAATAGTTGGCTTTTAGGCCGCTCTGAGAGAAAAGAGCCTGTTGTAGCACTCATTCAGTGAAATAGCTATAAATATCTAATTTTTTAGGTAGGGAAAAAGGAATGCTAGTACAGAAGGTCGCAATGTGAGTTCCATAGTTGGATAGGATGGGGATTTAAGGAAGTCTGCTGGTGCTGGATTAGTTCAGTGTTGGTGTTATTTTATTTTTAACCTGTCTGTGTCAAAATGAGATTTCATGTTCCAGTTGTTAAAACATGCAATTTTAGTACTGTGTTTTTTGTGTTGTCCAAGGAAGATTGAAAATCTGTAGCATGAATAATATGTTTTTTGTTTGAAGTCTTATGAATGTATTAAATGTATTAAAAGACTGTGCTGTTTCCTATTTTGAGTTTAAAAAAACTTTAATTCATTAAATGGTGCTGAGTAAAGGAAATAGGAAGGGTGTGCTTAGTGTTATTTTAACTAGGCTCTTCTCTCTTGGAGAGGCCTAAAAGCCAGTTTTTTTTTTAAAGGCTTAAGGTGGGGAGGGAGTAGCAGACACAAGCAGCTCACTTCATTCTCAGTTCCTTCTCTTTCCAACACTGTTGTTTTTTTTTAAAACCATTGTTTCTTTTAACTTTATTTTTCTCATAAATATGATATATCACTAAAAATGTTAAGCACTACTAAAAACTATTAAGAAATATACTTACGTTGGAACAAAGTTTTTTGTAGGTTTTTTGTTGTTGTTGTTTTTTTCATGAAAACAGAACCAACCGTAACAGATTCCTCACTGAAGAAGATACACAGCTCTGGCCGGGTAGCTCAGTTGGTTGTGTCCTGATAAGCCACGGTTGAAGATTACATCCCTGGTCAGGTAACATACGAGCATCAGTCAGTGAATGCATAAGTGAGTGGAACAACAAGTCGATGTTTCTCCCCTTCTTGTCTCTGTAAAATCAACTTAAAAAAATAAATAAAAAGAAGATACACAGATAGCAACTAAGCATGTGAAAAGATGCTTCACATCATGTGTTATCAGGGAAATGAAAATTGAAATGAGATCCCATAAGACACTATTAAGAAGGCCACACTTGCCCTACCCGGTTTGGCTCAGTGGATAGAGCATCAGTCTGCAGACTCAAGGGTCCCAGGCTCGATTCTGGTCAAGGGCATGTACCTTGGTTTCGGGCACATCCCCAATGGGGAGTGTGAGGAGGCAGCTGATCGATGTTTCTAACTCTCTCTCCCTTCCTCTCTGTAAAAAATCAATAAAATATTTTTTTAAAAAAAGAAAAAAAAGAAAGAAGTCGACACTCTGTGATACTGACACCACCAAATGCTGGCGAGGGTAAACATACTCTTACCATACTATTCACCAATTGTGTTCCTTAGTACTTACTCACAGGAGTTCAAAACTTAACATTGAAAACACTGCACATGGATATTTATAACAGCTTCATTCATAATTGCCAAAACTTGGAAGCAACTAAGATGTCCTTCAGTAGGTGATAGATAAATAAAATGTGGTACATCCAGACAATATATTTTTTCAAAAGTTGATTTTAGAGAAAGGGAGAGCAAGATAAACCGATTTGTTGTCCCACTTATTTATGCACTCATTCTTGTAAGTGCCCTGACGAGGGATGGAACCAGCAACCTTGGCGTATTGGTTCAATGCTCTAACCAACAGAGCTACCCAGCCAGGGCACACAATGAATTCTTCAGCACTAAAGAGACATGAGCTGTCAACCATGAAAATACATGGAGGAAAGATGCTTAATACTAAATGAAAGAAGCCAATATAAAAAAAGTCACATACTGTATAATTCCAACTATACGATATTCTGGAAAAGGCAAAATTATGATGTAAAAACATCAGTGGTTGCCAGAGTTTGAGGGGAGAGGGGAATGACTAGGCAGATCACAGGATTTTTTAGGGCAGTGAAACTATTATGTATGTTTCTATATATATGCTATATTATGCACTACACTGCATGATCTATGACATTATACATTTGTCCAAGCCCATAGAATGTTCAACACCAAGAGGGAACTCCAAACTATGGACTTTGGGTAATAATGATGTGTCATAGTAGGTTCATTAATTACAACAAATGTATCACTCTGGTAGGGAATGTTGATAATAGGGGAGACTGTGTGGGGGCAAGAGGTATATGGGAAATCCCTATTCCTCTCAATTATGTTGTAAACCTAAAACTGCTCTTTAAAAGTCTATTTAAAAAAGAAGCAAAAAACAAGATAAGTGGTTAACATTTCACCAGTGCTTATATTGAAAAGGTAATAAAAGGTCAGAGCACTGGGCTAGAAATCAGTGTGCACTGAGGATATGAAATAGGTATTAATGTTTTGCACTCTGGCCTTAGGAATACCAGTGAGAGCTTTCCAGATACTTAATACTAGACTTTTGTGTATTAGCATTCTTTTTTTTCAAAAATATATTTTTATTGATTTCAGAAAGTAAGGGAGAGGGAGAAAGAGATAGAAACATCAATGATCAGAGAGAATCATTGATTGACTGCCTCCTGCATGCCCCCTACCGGGGATCGAGCCCACAACCCCAGCATGTGCCCTTGACCAGAATTGAACCCGGGACCCTTCAGTCCACAGGCCAATGCTCTATCCACTGAGCCAAACCAACTAGGGCTGTCTTAGCATTCTTAGCACCTCAGTGCTACTCTGTGGTAGTCACGGTGCTGCCTAATACCATGTCATAGTTTCCCATTAAAGTCCAGGGTTCAATTCCTGGTCAGGGAACATGCCTGGGTTTTGGGTTCAGTTCCCAGTCAGCATGCGTACAGGAGCCAACTGGTCAATATGCTCTTTTCTATTTTAAATGAATTTGTTGTCCTTTACTCAAGGGAAAACCATCTATGTATCGGTGGAGTACAGTGCCTTACAAGCAGTGGAGCACTCTTTCAGCCATGTAGAACACCTACATGTTCCTTGCATAGACAATGTACTTAAAAAATGTTATCAGTGGCAGCTACCATTTTTTAAGTACATTGTCTATGCAAGGAACATGTAGGTGTTCTACATGGCTGTCAATCCACTTCACAACTATAAGCAGTAGGGATGATTAGTCCCATTTTATAGATGTGGAAAGCAAGGCTTGAGAAGTGAGATGCACTATCCAGGGTCACAAAGCCTGTTGGTTACAGACCTGGAACTTGGCCTTAGGACTTCTCATTTTCATTTCAGTTTCCTTCTTCTGTAGCCATCCTCCATTGCTGGTGTTTACAGCTGCCAAGTGGTACTCTTAGTTGTTTATCTGCCCTCGATGATGTTGCCTAAGCTCTTGAAACCTGTTTACTTCTGTGTAAAAATGGAATAATAGTATTTGTAGTATAGGCTTATGAGAATTATATAAAATAATTTAGGCAAAGCACACTATAAAGTTGTAGTGTTATTATAGTAGTTATTTTATTAAAGAGGTCGTTTGTAGCCAGTGGTCAGATTGCTAGGTTTCAAGTCTCAGCTCTGCCTCTTAGTACTTGTATGAGTTTAAACAAGTTATTTAACCTCTCTGTGCCTCAGTTTCCTCATCTGTAGAATGGGGATAATAACACTTGCCTACCTCATGGAGTCATTGTGAGGGATAAGTGAAATAACCCAGGTGAAGTCTGTTCAATAAATTCTAGTCATTATTAATTTAAGTTCTCCTTATACCCTATTTGAACATTCAATTTGCCTCACAGTCCCTCTTACCATATTCCTCCGATAATATTGATCACATTCAAAGATAATGAATATGAAAAAAAGATAATGAATATGCAATTAGCCACCCCACTCCCTTTCATCATACTCTACTTTTGTTCTCTAACATTACCTATCATCTATAATGCTGTTATTATTTTGCATTTAAAAATTTTAAATTAAATCTTTATTGTTGAAAGTATTACATATGTCCCCCTTCCTCCCCTATTTATTTTGCATTTTTATTGCTTACTGTCTGTCTCTCTCCCTGGCAGGGATTTTGTTCAGAGGTATCCCCAGCATCTAGAACAGTGCCTGGCACATAGTAGCTGCTCAAATAAAAATTAGCCATTATTGTGATAAAGTCTATCTTGACTAGTCCTCCCCATAGTAGCTCTGAATTCCTAATTTCCCTTAGTCAACTTCCCTTTTGCTTTTTGGCAGTAGCACTTATTATGTTTTAACAAACCATGTAACATACTTATTCAGTATGTTGATTAGTTATTGCTGTTTCCTCCTCGTCACCCTCATCTAGAGTGTAAGTACCGTGAAAGCAAGGACTTTTTTTTATTGATTGATTTCAGAGAGAAGAAGGGAGAGGGAGAGAGAGAGAGAGAAACATCAACGATGAGAGAGAATCATTGACCCACACCTGCCAGACTTTTATAGGCTTTCTCTACTTACACATCCCCAACACCTAGAAGAATTCCTGAATTATATGTGGCAGAGCGCCACAAGCACAGGCAGTAAAGTCAGGTCTCCTAGGACTGACGCGGAATTCTCGGATGGCCTTAACCGTGTCTCCACTCTGGGCCTCAGTTTCCCCTCCCAGCTCTTACCCTTTTGGTTTCCCAGCAGCTCCGGTCCAGCCGCCTGCCGGCGCCGCGCCCCACATCGCCGCTGGAGGGCAGTGGTGTCCAGCGCTGGCTCCGCCCACCCCCGGGAGGCGGGGCGAGGTGGGACGCCCAGCCCCGGAGTAAAGAAGCCGAGTGCCTCGGCGTTGCGTTCAGTCTCCCGGGAGCTCTCCGCCGGCACTTTCGGTCCCGCCATGTCCTGCTACATCTACCAGCTGCCCTCCTGGGTGCTGGACGACTTGTGCCGCAACATGGACACGCTCAGCGAGTGGGACTGGAATCATTTCGGTGAGTGGGCCCCTAGCGACCCCGCGCGGGCGGCCTGGAAGCCCCCTCCTGGCCTTTTTGGTGGGTCCTGATCCGCAGGGCTCTGCGTGCTGCCATCTGGACCCACGTCTCGCTGAGTGCCCGCAGGCAGGCCACTGACCCCTCTCTGGACCCAGTGGGATCATCTGGAAGGCGCTTTGTGATCTTTCAGGTTCCCTGCTGTCACTCAGTCCTTCGCTAAGTAATGACCGCCGACTGTGCTCTTTACGGCCAGGCGTGTAAGAGCTGTGAGCAGTTACTGTAAGTGACCAGTGTGCCCGGCTCTGATGTAAGCACGTGACAGGGGTTATCTGCTTTAGTCCTACAGCCTGTGAAGTGCGTATTTCTCTTCCCCCCTTTTACAGAGGAGGAAATGGACTTAGAAAGGTAGAGTCGCTTGCCAGGGACCATGGCCTTGCTAAGTGGCAGAATGGTGTTTGAATGCCGTGTCAGGCCCCAACAGGACATTGTATCTCCTTGGTGTGTTTTGTTTCTTTGTGCCTGATGATTGGCTGCGAGCACTCGGCATCCAGGGGGAGGCTGGGCTTGTGGTCCTCAGGTTCCCAAGCAGAGGTCTTGCAATTCAGCTGGTGATTTTGGGTGAGTTGCTTAACTTCTCTGAGCCTCAGCTTCTTAATCTGTAAACTGGAGGTTGTGAGGAACGAAAAAAATTTTAATTGATTTTAGAGAAGGAAAGGAGGGGAGGGAGGGAAGAAGGGGGAGAGAGAGAGAGAGATTTGTTGTTCCACTTATGTATGCATTCTTTGGTTGCTTCTTGTATGTGCCCTGACCTGAGATCTAACCGGAAATCTTGGTGTAAAGGAATGACACTCTAAACAACTGAGCTACCCAGCCAGGGCCAAGGAATAAAAATTGTCTAAAAAGCACCTGACACCTGAGTGTCAGAAATGCTAGAGATTCTTGTAATAATAAAGAAGTGTTAACAATGATCATCTTAGTTTTATGTTTTAATCAGTGTAACTCATGCCACTTTATTTTTAAAATAATACCTATCTGTTCTTTAAAATTTAGATTATAACATATGCCCTTTATACAAGAGTATATAATATATATGTACAGTTGAAAGAAATGAACATGTGTGTGTTACTCATCCAGTTTGAGCAAATAATATATATTTTAACCTAGTGGTTCTCAAACATGGGTGATGTTGCCCCCTAGGAACATCTGCCAATGTCTGAGACATTTTTGGTTGATAGAACTTGGGAAATGCAGTGGGTAGAGGCCAGGTATGTTGCTAAACATCCTGCAGTGCACAGGACAGCCTGTACATAAGAATGATCCGGCCGGCTCTGCCAGTGTGGTCCAGTTGGTTGGGTGTCATCTGTGCAAGGAAAGGTTGCTGGTTTGATTCCGGTCATTGTGGGCTCGATCCCTGGTAGCAGCAGGCAGCAGATAGATGTTCCACTCTCACATCAATGTTTCTCTCTCTCTCTCTCTCTCTCTCTCTCTCTCTCTCTCTCTCGTTAATTTTTTAAAAATCTTTAAAAGATAAAGAATTTTCTAGCCCAAAGTGTCAATAATGCTGAGTTTCAGAAACTGTTTTAAACCAGTAACAAAAATAATAAATGTTTGTTGCAAAATACAGTGGGAAACTGAGTTCAAATTCCACCACTCAGGGATACCCATTTTTAATATTGGATACCAATAATAATGAAACAACAACAACAGCAGCTAACTTTTATTGGCTTCTTACCATGTACCACCAGAATGGTAGGTATTTTATGCAGTTTAGCCCTCTTTCTAAACATATTTATTTATGTGTATACATTTTTCAAAAATCATGTCATTTTGAAAATTGTAATAGCCTGCTTTTTAACTTAAAATACCTTACAATTATTTCTCTTTGCCAAGCAATATTCTTTAGCAGCATGGATTTTTTTCAGTGTTTATTTTTATTAATTATTTTTAATGGATGGAAGTAACACATGCACAAAGTTAAATGATGTAAATAATACACCTGTGATAGAAGAAGGTAAATATCTTTCCACTTCCTGGTCCTCACCTTCCCTGTTCTCCCTAGAGACAGTCAGTGGTACCTTGTCAGGGCAACTATGAGAATGTCTGTTGCTACCTGATTTTCTTTGCTTGGATGCTCTGTAATTTAGCGGCTTTGAATGTTTCCCGGGCAATGGACAAGCTTTGTGTAAGAGACTCCCTCTAGTTTTTTCCATGTTGTGAATTGTGAATGCCAGAACAACTTCTGTTTTCTAGGACACTCATTTAGAAGGCACTTATACTACTAATAAAATTGAAATGCTGCCGAAGCCGGTTTGGCTCAGTGGATAGAGCGTCAGCCTGCGGACTGAAAGGTCCCAGGTTCGATTCCGGCCAAGGGCATGTACCTGGGTTGCAGGCACATCCCCAGTAGGAGATGTGCAGGAGGCAGCTGATCGATGTTTCTCTCTCATCGATGTTTCTAACTCTCTATCTCTCTCCCTTCCTCTCTGTAAAAAATCAATAAAATATATTTTTTTTAAAAATTGAAATGCTATAGAGAAGGTTAGTATGGCCCTTCTGCAAGGATGCCACTCAAACTCGTGAAGCAATCAATATTTAAAAGAAAAACATAGTGTACAGTTCATTTTTAATTTCTCCTGGACAATACTGTAAATATAAAACGTAAAGATGACTTTAGATGGTTTCAATCATATAAGTTCTAATCCTGTATTAGTTTTTTTCAAATGTCACTTATCAGGCATAGTTCTGAAATGCTGATAAGTAAGCGGTATCTGGATTTCTGAATATTCATAATTGTATTACCCAAGGATGGAAGTGTTGAAGTTTAATTTCTAGCCCGAGATTTTAGAATAAAATCCCTTCAGCACTTGATTGAAGTAACAAAAAATATTTCCAAAAAGTTTTACTGTGAAGAATACTTCTCACAGATGTATTTTCAGTTTCAGCCCAATAGTTAAAACATGTTTTTTAAAATAACTGTATAAGTACAGTAAAAAATGTAAGAAAGGTCCATTTTGTAATTTTTTTTTTTCATTTTGTAATCTTAATTAAAATGAGAGTCCTACAGTTGGATTTTGCATCTGATATCTGTTTGGAGTTCAGAGCCATTGTGTTTAAAAATACTACATGTAACATGGAAAAGGTGCTTTTTCCTTTTAATTCCTTTGATCGATAATGGCTTTTTTTTTCAAATTGGCTAAAGGATCAAAATGAAACCTTGTTAATATGAATCAGTTACTGAACTTGTTACTTATTTTTGTTATACATGTTAATGTAATAAATATCAATGTGGGAGATAATAGTAAAAAAAAATAAAGTGTACAGTTCAGTGGCATTTAGTATTTGCAGAGTTGTACATCCCTCTCCACAATCAATCTTAGAACATTTTAATTACCCTCAATAGAAACCCTGTACCCCTTCATTGTCTCCCCCACATTCCCACACCCCTGTTCTTCCCCCTGCTTTAGGCATTGTTTAATCTGGACATTTACATATTGTAATCATACAATATGTGGTTCTCTGTGAATGACTTTTTTCCTTTAGCGTGTTTTCAAGGTGCATCATGTTGTAGCATGATCAGTGCTTAATTTCTTTTTATTGTTGAATTATATTCCATGGTACGGATATACTGCATTTTATCTCCCCAGTTATCAGTTGACGGACATTTGGGTTCTTTCCACTTTTTGACTATTGTGAATAATGCTCCTGTGCACATTAATGTGCAAGTTTTTGTGTGGACATGTTTTCATTTCCCTTGGGTAGATATCTTGGGAGTGGAATTACTGAGTCATAGGGTAACTCTACGTTTAACATTTTGAGGAACTACCAGATTTTTCCAAAGTGACTGTACCATCTTACATACCCACCACCAGTGTATGAGGGTTAGTTTCTTCATATCTTCACCAACACTTGTTATTGTCTTTTTTATTCTAGCCATTGGAGCGGGTGTGATGTGGTATGTTATTGTGGTTTGATTTGTATTTCCCTAATGACTAAGAAGTGGAGCATCTTTCATGTGCATATTGGCCCTTTGAACATCCTCTTTGGGCCTCTAATTCTTTAGACCCTGGAGATACCAGAATTGCTCAAAGTCCTAATAGGCTTCTCATTGTGGTTTAGAATATAATCCAAACTCATCACTAGACCTGCCCAGTCTGACACAATCTGACCCCACTGATTCTGACCTCTCCTCTCCTACCCTCTTGCTCAACCTGCTCCAATCACACTGGCCTCCTTGGTCCAGACTCAGGGCCTTTGCACTTGCTGTGTCCTCTGCCTAGGACAGTGATGGCGAACCTATGACACGTGTCTCAGAGGTGACACGCGAACTCATTTTTTTGGTTGATTTTTCTTTGTTAAATGGCATTTAAATATATAAAATAAATATCAAAAATATAAGTCTTTGTTTTACTATGGTTGCAAATATCAAAAAATTTCTATATGTGACACGGCACCAGAGTTAAGTT